GACCAAAAAAAACACAAAAAAAAAAAAAAAAAAAAAAAAAAAAAAAAAAAAAAACAATAGTCAGCTAAACGTTTTGCCCCTGCAAGGTATCCTCCGCTCGGGGCAGCCTGTTTCACAGCCAGCCTCATGCCCAAGGCCACTCCACGGAGTCAGTCCAACAGAATCAATCAGGTTCCTACACTATAAAATCTCCCTCAACCTCCTACTTTATGGGTCAATGCTAATCAAAAATCCACCCAATCGCTGGGGCCCCTCCCCATTATGGTTCTCCCAGCTGAGTCCTGCCTCCTACCACCTGGGGCAGAGATGAGAGCCACCAGGGCCTCCCGGCCAGCCTTCTGCATCCTAACCTGTGTTGGTCAGGGAAGTGTCAGGCCCACCTCAGACACGAGGCAATGGGGAAGCACATTAGCCGGGAGGTTGGCTTTGTCTCAGGGGCTCCACGGACACCATCACCTCTCTCCTGCCTCCCCCGCAACCCTGTCCCATCCAGGACACTTGTGAGCATCCTTTGAAAAGGAGCAGAAGACGGCTTTAAATCAAGAGCCCTGAGAATCCTTAACTTGGAGTTGCCCTTCTGGCTTCCCCTTCTCTATGTCCCTTCTGCTCTAGAAAAAGGGCTCACACACACACACACACAGTCGGCCCACTGGGAAGATGCACAGAACACAGCCCAGAGTTCCAAGAGTTCCAAGGAACAGGTACCGGCCAGAGAGAGACCCCTAAGTGCTTCCACAGATTGGAGGTCTGAAAGAGCTGGGGACTGACACAGAAATGCTACACTCACATCTCAGTGGGGCTGGGGAGGAGGGGCAGGCAGGGATCTTAGCAGTTTTTTATAAATACTCACTCTGGGAAGTGTCACCCACCATCACCATCCAGAGGTGATGCTACCCTGAGCCTAGTTCAGGAAACCTTTCTAAAGTGACAGGAGAGCCAGCCCGGACTTGGAGGAAACCAAAGGATAGAGGAGCTTTGTCTTAAAAGGCTGTCTTGGGTACAGGCAAGATCATGGGAGCAGGGCTGGGGGTAGGACAGGCAAGTGGCATTCCCAAGGCCTCAATTTAAGGGGGCACTCACTCTCAGGGTGGTGCAATTGCAGGGTCAGTACCTGTGAACCAGGGCCTCCTTAAATGTGGGCCCCTTGGTGCCTCACCCCAGTTTTGGCCCTGATGTGGAATGCCCCTGGGTACAGCAGGCATAGCCCAGGGCTTCAAAATCCACAATAAGACTTAAGGGCCCACCTCTCAATTCCAGTCTCAGCGGATAATATAACAGCCATCATAACTGAGCATTTTGTAAGTGGCAAACTTACAAAATGCTCACTGAAGTGTGAACACCTTGTGCTATAGGCGGTCATTCCTGTTTTGCAGATGAGGAAACTAAGGCTCTGAGAGGCTGAGTGACTTACCTGACTTCACACAGCTAGTAGCAGAGCTGGAATTAGACCCAGAGTTCAGAGCACCAGCACCATGACTTCTGAGAACATCGTATTTTAAAGCTGGGACTGCAGAAATAATTTACTGTAGAGTTCTTCCAGCCCTCACAACTTTAGCTGCAAAATATGCCTAGGTCAGCATATTCCAAAGTGTTCACTGCACATCACTCTCAACCTAGCGTACCCCCAACCTGCTCCCCTTCCTGTATTCCAGATTCCGCAAATGGGCCCCTTTCCCCTCACCACCCAGATCAGAAATACAGACATCACTTTGGGCTCTTACCCTCCCCCATCACTCCCACACCCAAGCAATCTGCAAGTCCTGTCAATTCCACATGGATTCCAAGTCCACCCCTCCTTCACTTCTCCTGCCTCAGCTTAGCCACATCATTCACTGAGCACGTGTGCCAGGCCCTTTGCCAGCACTCAGGGAAGACAGAGATGAAGAGACTTGCAGTCTGGTGGAGAGAGACACAGACAGTTTCGGCTATGAGAGAGGTGGGTGCAGGGGGCAGCGGGGGCTGTAGAAGACAATCGCCCACCCCACAGCAATGAAGAGTCAACCGGTTTATACATGAATGGGTCTCACCTCATGCCCTCTCCCCCTGGCATTCTATTGCCCGAGCACAGGCCGTACAAAACACAAGGCAGTGCTGTCACACAAACAGCTCTCCAAAGAAGGCAGGCACGCAACTGCAGCAATGGGATCCTGCTCCCAGAGCTGAGTGACCTGGGGCCAGTTGCTCATTTGAGCCTCAGGCGGGACAATAACAAACCCTCAGCATTATTATGAGATTTAAACGAGACCTTGTAAGAAAGGGCCTGGCCCACACTGGCACTTGGTAACAGGAGATCTAGAATTAAGCCAGGAGGGGAAGGAGAGAGGCAGAGCCAGAGAAGTCATTGCAGAGCCTGGGTTTTTCAACCAGGTGTAGCATAATGAGGCAGTTAGACTCAGGAATAGACCAAGAGCTGCCATCTTTCCCACCTTCCCTAGGTCTGAATCCAGTCCCATCTGAAGCTCCCTACCACAGCCTCTGTCTCACAGCTCCAAATGTGGGAGAGGGATGGCTCTTATTATCTCCCAATGCAAACGGCAATTTCTTGTACTCTCAATTTTCTGATTCATGCGCAGAGCCTGGGACATAGTATATGTTTAATAAATGGTACTGAATGTGCAGTTGACTGCGCTAATCCTGGGGAGGGTGGGGGCAGGGAGCTGGGCCAACGGGGTGAGAACCCAGACTTCATCAGTTCTCTGTGCCTGCGTGGCCCCCTCCATTGGGCCAGTGTCGGGGTAGCCCAAGGGCTAATCCGTGTTTTCAGCGTGGCTGGGCCCTCTTTTCACAGGCCCTGGGCCGGATGGGATGTGGCTGAGCATCCGGGCATAAGATGGCCAGTGAAGGCAGCCCCTTTCTCATGGGTCTGGATTCCAGGCGGCCCAGTGTCTGAGTGGAGCCCCTGGGGCGGGAGGAACACAGTGGCTGGGCTGGGCAGTCCTTTGTCTGACCATGCTGGGTGAATATTCAGACTGGCAGGAGGGATTAATGGCCAGGGATTGGCCCTGGGGCTGGCCTTCCCACTGCCCTTTGGAGGCCAAAGGCCCAGGTCAGGGCACACAGCATTGATGGCTCCCTAGATAGGAGTGGAAATTCCCATTGTGTGCAAAGCTGTTAGAATTAGCCCCCAAGGCTCCCTGCCCCAGCCCCACCTCAACAGAGGCAGCACAGCCAAGATGCACTTCAAGGCAAAGAGCAGAGGGTGGGAGCCAGAGCCTCCCAACCACTGTCCGGAAGAAGGGGCTTAGGTGTTCAGGTCTTTACCCTGAGATTCGCAGCCCCTCTAGGAAGGCCCTATGATTTCCCCTCCGGAGTGCTGGGGAGAAAGAGCTATGTTAACCCAACAAGGGCCCAAGGGGCCAGCCTAAGCTGTTGCCAGACCCCATAAGGCTTTCTGGAACATTCCTCAGACACCTCTAGTTTGAGACTGCTCCATAGTCATTTATTTCTAAAAGCCCCCATCACAACGTCCACTTACCCATAGCCCAACAGCTGCAGAAGGGGCTCAGGAAACAAATCTCAGAGACACCCCCACCCCACCCCCTGCCACCCAGGCACCCTGAGGGCTACTGCAGGACCTCTCCCTCTTACCCCCACAACAGTTTGTAGCTGACTTTATTTACCAGCCCAAGGAGCTCAGATCTTTCTAGAGACAACAGGGAGACTTGGAAAGCTCTTCAGCAGGGGAATGAGACGATCACCTCCCTTGTTCAGATCAGTGTGGCAGCGCATAGGCCAGACAGGGAAGAGGCTGGAGGCTCAGGGAGCAGCGGGGAGACTGAGCATGTGATGAGGTGTGAACCGAAGCTCTGGTCTGGGGGCACACTAGACCAGTGGTCAGTAAACCGCGGCTCTCGAGCCACATGCGGCTCTTTGGCCCCTTGAGTGTGGCTCTTCCACAAAATACCACGTGCGGGCGCGCACGTACAGTGCGATTGAAACTTCGTGGCCCATGCGCAGAGGTCGGTTTTCAGCCTGGGCGAAACAAGTATACAAGACGAGTGTGGATGGGAGAGTTGGAAGGGGTCGACCTCAGCGAACGTACCTCAATTAGATTGAGGACGTTTTTAGCAAAGGCCAGCTTAAGAGTACCCTAATTAAGTTAATAACAATGTACCTACCTATATAGTTTAAGTTTAAAAAATGTGGCTCTCAAAAGAAATTTCAATCGTTGTACTGTTGATATTTGGCTCTGTTGACTAATGAGACAGAACAGAGAGAGAACCTCCAGCCATCCATCTCAGAGAAGGGCTTAAACATCGAGTTTGTCACAAGTTAAGAACTGATCATCATTCTCTACTCCTTTCTCTCTCTCT